TCTAGTAGTGTGCACTTATAAAACTATTTAATAAACACAAAAGGGAAGAATGTTATCATGAATGTGTTATAAAATGTTATAGAATGTAAAATAATGTAGTTGTGACTTTACTTTTTTTTTTTTTTTAGGTTTGTCCCTGGAGTATCCACCGCCGATAGCGGTGACTAATCTCCTCGCTACGTTGGAGGCACCTCAAAGAGTAGGATAGTTGACCCCAAGATTTAACGCGGCTGCATACATAAAACAGGATTCGAATCCCTGACCTTGCTTAAGCGTGGATCAACCCCTACCGCTGAACCACACGCTTGGAGTTTAGTTGTGACTTTACTAAATCCATTGACAACAACATTGGTATTTATTCTATGCCTCTTCTATTGATTTTATAATTATTCTTCGTAATATTGAAGTTGTTAATGTTTTTAGAAAGTTTTTTTTATTATTAACTTAATGTGTCAGGTACTCATGGTCTTAAAGCTTATGCAATGGATTATTGCTTGCAAAAGTGCCAAAACAACTAATGGTTTGTGACAAGAATGTTCGAATAAGGGTTTTTAGGAGAAATACTATTCATTCATGATTGTAATATTAAACAATTCCTAATGTTCATTTTATATGTCCATTTATTTCCTTTTCATTTCTCTCATTTTTTATTTGGTGGGCTAATGGAGCCAAGATCCCACTTTATTTTATTATGTTAGTTTTGTGTTAGAAACTTTGCATAAAAATAAATTGAAAGTTTGAGAATTTTTTGTACAAGCTTGGCAACAAATTCCACAAACAACTATAAAAAAAATGTTCATGCTCGTACAAATTTTTTTAAAATTTTAAATCTTTTTAATTAAAAAGTAGAGCTAATATATTACAAACAATTTATTCTTACATAATATTCAAACAATAAAGGGTACTTGAAAGTGATTGTTGGATCGATTATTTGTCACTAGATCAAAAGTTATAACTGATATTCCGGACACAACACTTTTTACTTAACCATAATAGCTTAAGTCTCACATGTCAAGTGTGACTTGACCCAATTCGAACTCCAACATAGGATAATTGACACCTGTCAAATAATGGTATAGTGAAATTCAAACTAATTAAACTAATTTTCTTTATTTACTTAATTAATTTTATAAATTTAATTTGTTATCAAATATAGAGTAAACTTAATTAATTGTTTTGTAATTAACATGTTTGAAATTATTTTCTCCACTTTAAAAATTAGTTTAATTTATAAGGTAACATCCTTTTTTCATAAATTAAATAATATAGTTATTTAAAGTTTTATTTAGAAAAGATGTGATTGTGAATCCTTTTTCCCGTGAGCTAAAGTTTTTATTATATTTAATTGTCATATTTTCTTATTATTTAATTAAAACATTTTAGGATTGAAAGGTGTTACATTTAATAACATAAGAGCAGGTCGATCCATCTTACCAATGTGTTATGTGTATTTAATGTTTCCTACAAGTACTTTATGAAAGTGTTGATGTAACTTGAAATTTTTTTCTTTTTTATAATATATTGAGATTTTTCATGTCGATACTTTATGCACTATGAGTATGAATTTTTTACGAGTCTAAAAACGTGTATGATCAAGGGTAGTTTCCCTTGCTTATTTTCTTTGTAACCTTTATGTCGGAATTCAAAAAATTTTGATCTTACCCACAGATGGTTTGGACTTCTATTTTGAAAACCTCGTCGATTAGGGAATGCTTAGACACTAGACTAATTCCTAACCAACAAATTTTGAAAAAGTTTGAAGGAGTCGCCACTAATATTTTACTCAAAATATCAGAAAAAGAAAAGATTATGAAATTACAATAAAGGCCTTCATAACCAAAATTGGGTTTGGGAGTTGGTTACGTGTGAAGAAGGTGTTAGGCACCATACACCGCCCTAAATCGGTACCCTATGAAAATATTAGCATAATAATAAATAAAATCTTAAATATCTTATCCCCTTTTATTATTTAATATTATTTATATGACAAAAGATACCTACTATCTACATGATTAGTTATTGGCATATAAGAATTATAAATAAAATAATAAATAAATAAATAAAATAATAAATAAATAAATAAAATAATAAATAAATAAATAAAACAAAATAATAAATAAAATAAATAAAAGAGAAGAATTTAGAACCTCTGAAGCAAGCCTTTTATAAGGGAATCTTCCCAAATGTGAGTGGGGTACGTTTTGGCAGCCTTTCACTCTACAAAAATCTCACTATCACTCAGAGATTTATATAGAGAGGGGGGAAGCTATGCAGATTTTTGGTTGCTTAATCCCTTGGCCAGAGGGTTTCTTGTATAGCCAACTAGGAGGCAGGAGCATAAGAGAGCTATCCGATGTGGGACTAAATTTTATAAAAATACAATCTTTTTCTAGGCACCATGCAGGACTCCAAGAGAACTCGTTAACCGTCGGATCATGCTGGTTTTTTTATCGTATCCTCACAATATATTGATCTTCAATTTCAAAGGTTGGATCATTGAAATTAGATCTATAGTGAGAGATACTATCATAACAAAAACTTTGTCTGGTACAAGACTCCTGTTTTCCAACTGCAATGCGAGGCCTCTAGAATATTCATTAACCATTGGATCATGTTGAAAATTTGATAGTATCTTATTAGTAGATTTTCCTTAAACTTTAACGGTCGGATCATCAAAATTAAGTTTTTAGCGAGAAATATTATCATAACAAAAATGCTACCCAACACAAAATTTTCTAGAAAGGGGAACGGGTCGTTCTGATTTCGGAACAAGTCGTTCCAACATTGGGAACAACCCGTTCCAATTTTAGAACAGCCATTCCATGACCCAGATCAATTTTTTGAGTTTTATGGGCCTTCTAGAGCTATCTTGGCCCGTTTAGATGCTCTATTGGGCAATTAGGAGTCGTGTGTGCTGCTCTTTCCAACTATAGTGCGAGGCCTCTAGAGAAGTCATTAACCATTGGATCATGCTGAAATTTTGATGATATCTTCTAAATACATTCATCTTTAAATTCAACGATTAGATTGTCAAAATTAGGTCTTTAATGAGAGATATTATCATAACAAAAATGTTGCCCAACGCATTGAGACCTCAACGGTCATTTGTCTCACTCTAGTAGACCTTTGTCCTTGGTTTGGGTACCTCAGATGAATTTGGGTGTCTACAGCTATCCCTCTTTACTTATCCTTTGGATGGCTAGATATTGCTTTTCAAAAGACAAGTAAAGACGTAGACGTTTCGCCCTGATATTCTCTTTGCTTCTTTGTGCATGTGCTTCCACATTGCTTCCTTTAGATAGATAGGTTTGCCCATATCCTTGTTCTTTGGTGTAGTTGAGTGTTGGGTTGCGTACTCTAGTGGATAACAAGGATGGCAAATTGTACCACTTGATCTTCTGTCTTCATGTAGATGCTTCGTGCCATTTCCTCTAGTTGCTTCTCTATGGTAGTGAAGTGAAGATCTTGTTGCGCTCGCTATGGAGTGAGTATTATCTGAGCTTAGTCTCTCTAGGCTAGACTGATATTAAAGGTTTTAGTTGACCTCTAGTGAATACTTGGTGGTGATCTTGGTTTTGACTTGTTATCAGAATTTTTTTTGTCGAGATCTAAATTTTAGTTATTATTGAAAATATTCTTTTAAACCCTAGTTAATCTTCCACAAAATAAAATATTTAAATTCATATACTAAAACAAATAATTCATAATTTAAAAAATAACTAAGTTCATGCATATACGAAAGTTAATTTAAATCATACATATAAACTTAAAAATCAAAATCACGTACCATATAAAACAAGAATTTTTATATAGTTTGCAAAATAATAATTAAGAATTAAATAATTATCAAACATTAAAACTTTAGGGTGTTAAACCTCTTCCTATACCCACTCTAGTAAACTAAAATTGGCCCAATTACAAAGAAACACAGAATTATAGTTAAAGAAAATCCTCTAATATCACCAAGAATAGATCTCTATCACTGTTCAATCCATTCATAAGCATATTGTAAGATATATTCTCTCTCCATGCTTTTCTTCTTTTTTTGTGTTTGTTGTTTGCGTTAAATGTCTTATAGGCAAGGGTCAGGAGTTGAAACTATTTGGAGTTTTAGCTTCATTTTATTTGAGATTTTTTTTTAATTTAATTTTTAGTTATTGATTTTCTATAGTCTGGAAACATAAAGGTCATTGAAGTTCCTTTTTAATTTTTATTTTAGTCTTACAATATTTTTTTAAGTTATAATCGTGTAAAGTTTGATATGTTAACCTTTTATCCAGAGGAATTTAGTTTTAAAATTTATCTAAATTTTCACTTTTATCAATAATTAAAAGAATAATGTTTTGGGGTAATGAATGTCACGTCGATTAAAATTTCAAGAAATTTTCATTTTCACAATGTTTTTGACAAAAAAGAATATTAAGGATCCAATTCACCCCATCTTGAATCTAGTAATTATTTCTAACAATAATCACTGATAATTTTTATTTATTTAGTATATTATAAATTAAACTCTTTATTAACATGGATAATATAATTTCAATCAAGTTTATTGCATAGAAAAAATTTAAACAAGTTTAGTCTATATTTTATAATTCAATAAATAAAATTTACTAATTTAACTACTTTTAGTGTCATAATAATACTTTTAAGTACCTTGTGTTTATTGAAAATTATATATAAAAAGTTGTTTGCTATATATATATATATATATTAGCTCTATTGTTTAGTTCACCAAAATAAGAATTTTAAAAAAAATTCTTATAAAAGTGGACAATTTTATATAAAATATATATATATATATATATATATCCTATATATATATATATATATATATATATATATATATATATCTCTTAGTTACATTTGTTTGCTAGGTGTGTTGCTAAAGCTCATAAAAAAAATTCTCAAGCTAAATTTAATTTATATGCATTCATATTTGTTAGGACGTGAATGGGACATGAGAAAAATAAAAAGGAAATAATTAGACATGTAAAAACAACATTGAGAATTTTTTTTATTACAATAATGGATAAACATTATTTCTCCCAAACAACTTTTTATTTGAACATGCTTGTAACCAAGTATTACTTGTTTTGGCACTTTTGCTAGCAAGAATCCATCGCATAGGCTGTATGACCGCAAGCATATAACATGTAAATTCAATAGTTAAAAATAGTAAAAACATAATCAACTTCACACACTATGAAGAATAGTAACAAAACCAAAAAGAGAGGCAAGAGAATGATTACCAATATTGTTGTCAATGGACTTTGTCTTGGCACAACTAGTAATACAATCATATGTAGCATCATTTGCATATTCATGACATTTTACTCTACAACATTTAAAACATTCTACCAACTTACGTTTATTGAAAAAATATTTAAATGTGCATTTGATGCAACATATATTATAACATTTACTATGCTTCATTGGAGGATCAAAATTAGCTTGCACAAAGCCCGTCATAAGCATGATAATAATCAGAACTTTGATTGCATTCATTTTATTCTTTGGCATAGCTCTTCTATAAGTCTTTGCACTCTATCTCAGAATAACGTATAACTAGTAAATTCTGGATATTTGAAGAAAAATAAATATCAATTTAAAGACATAAAATAATTAATTGAAATTACATTTAAAATCTTACCAAAATTGTGCATAATAATGATGATATTAATAATGATGATAATAATAATGATGTTGAAAATAATAATGATGATAATAAATGTGATAATAATGATTATAATAAAAACAATAAAGATAACAATATAGATAATAACAATTGTAATAATAATAATAATAATAATAATAATAATAATAATAATAATAATAATGATATTGATAATAATAATTGTGATAATAATTATGATAAAAAAACAATAATAATAATCGAAAGTCTTAAATGCATTTTTATCCCAAAGTATTGCAATTTTGTAACTTTAGCCCTCTAACATTTAATTGAGCAATTTTAATCACTCAATTATCACATTATGTAATTATGATCTCTCAAATTTTAATTAAACAATCTTAATTTATCAAGTACTGCATTTTGTATTGATTTAGTCTCTCATTAGAACTCCAATAATTTTTGCAACGATTGACGAGAGTTATCATTATTTCCAATTAGCTTTCTTCTAATATATTAATTTAAGCTATTATATTTACATTTTATTAAATTATATTAATATATACTAATTTATATTTATGAAAAGTACTATTTTATTTATATTATAATAACAACAGTAAATACATATTTTAATTTAGTAATAGTATATTATAAAATAATAAAATTATTATATGTTTAATGGGAGAGAATTAAATTGTGATATCCTTTATCCTACATGTCATAACACATAATATAATTGAAGCACCTTATATATATATATATATATAAAGAGAGAGAAAGAAAGAGAAAGAGAGATGAGGGTTATAATAACACCGGTGTAACTTTTACTAAATATTACATTCCTCAATAACTTTATATTAAATTTGAATTTTTTAAATTCAACCGTTAGATTGAAAGTTCATATCACTTTATATGTTTATGTCAAATTTTGTTAAAATTGAACAACAACTTGAAGGTAATCGAAGTATTCATATTTTAGTATATTTTGAAATGTATATATAACGTCAATTTTGTTTTATAAGAATAAAGTATCAAATCATCTTGGATTAATATAAAATTTTGTATATATGATCTAAGAATAAATAACTTTCAATCTAACGGTTGGATTTACAAAATTCACATTTAATATAAAGTTATTAAGCGATGTAATACTTAGTAAAAGTTACACCAGTGTTATTATAACCCTCCTCATATATATATATATATATATATAAGAGGAGGTTCAAACGACACTGGTGTAACTTTTACTAAGTGTTACACCGCTCAATAACTTTATATTAAATGTGAATTTTGAAAATCCAACCGTTGGATTGAAAGTTCATATCTCTTAGATCATATATATCAAATTTTATATTAATCAAAGATGATTTGATACTTCATTCTTATAAAACAAAATTGACGTAATATATACATTTCAAAATATACTAAAATATGAACACTTTGATTACCTTCAAGTTGTTGTTCAATTTTAACAAAATTTTACATATATGATCTAAGAGATATGAACTTTCAATCTAACGGTTGGATTTTCAAAATTTACATTTAATATAAAATTGAGCGGTGTAACACTTAGTAAAAGTTACACCGGTGTCGTTTGAACCCTCCCCTCTCTCTCTCTCTCTCTATATATATATATATATAAGAACTCAAATTTTATAGAGGTAGAAATGTCATATTATTAACACAAACTAAACTTGACGAAATAATAAAGTTACAAAGGAATTAAAACCAAACTGTTCAAGTTAAATAACATGAATCAAATTCAAACTAGTCCTAACTAATCCTCTGTATCACGTGTCCTATCAAAGCAAAATCCAGCATGGGAGACTAGGCCTCAACACCAACATCCTCAACATCATGTTGATGATCACTTGTAGAAACCACAAGAAGACAAGACAAAACAAAAGGGAGTAAGAAATATCTTACTTTATCTCACGGTACAGGAATGCAAACTGACTAGCCAAACACAAACAACACATACAATCATATATGGCATACATAAACACACATTATCATCATACTTGGTTCATTCATAGCATAATAAAACAACAAGTACAATTATAATATCTTATGCAATGGACATGGACTACATGTTAACATGCATGTGGTGCTTATAAAAATATTACACTTGTTCATTGTCCCTAGCAATGCACTAGAGTAGTTTAGGAGTACATGTTGGGCCACATCCTTTGTGGACTCTCACTAGAAAGACTTACTACCAGGGTCTAGTTGAGATAGCTAATTCACGCAAGATACATCCCGTGCTCACAAGGACAAGACTAAGACTTCCAAATCAAGCTATCCCCAAGGATGGTTTCTCAAGCTTTTACATCCTTTTCTGGCGGTGTATTCCATATCATACCATTACAAAAATATTTTTATGTATATGATGTATGTCAAACAAACTCTATGCATTATATTTACATGATTCCATAATTTCACATTTCACACATTCATCATGTATCATTTCTCATCACATGCTTTCATATATTCATCAACAAAGATTAATTCATATCCATGGCAACAACACATATCCCACGCTTGACACGATACTTCCAAAGGACCACATTGGTCTCTATCTAGATCATGCTCGATGTGACCGAGCCCACACCCAATGAGAACACCACTAAGATTTCTTTGGAGTGTCCACTTCTAGCAAGATTTAGCTTACACTTGGCGAAAGACCTTTAGGTGCTTTTTGGCTACCTAACGCACTACAATGTACCTCACAAAATCTCAAGAAATGCAATAAGGGGGATAAAGAATTTTCTTATTATCTAGGACTTCGTAGATGACTTTTTTTTGTCCAATCCCCTAAACAGTGTTTCATGCGACTATTTATATACGTTAGAACTGACCAGAACGGCCCGTTCCAGTTTTGGAATGGCCCGTTCTAGACCAATCTATTAAGAGTAAAATTTGAATCTAGGAGTAAAATTTGAATCTAGAACAACTCATTCTGGAATTGAAACGGCCCATTCTAGATTTGAATTTTACTTATAATAACCTATGTTGGAATGGCCCGTTCTGGACTGGGAAAGGCCCATTCTAAACTAGGGTTTCTAAGCCGTTTTAGTAGTTTGGAATGACCTATTCTAGATTGGGAACGGCCCGTTTTGGGCTATTAAATCACCCTTATTGGGCTTTGGGCCTTTTGATGTCATATCGTGTCATTTCTAGGCTTTCAGGAACACTTTTTCTTCATGCCAGAAGTTCATTCCTTTGTTTGGGGGTCCGAAAAGAATTAAGTGTCTACAAATGCCCCTCTTTACTTGTCCTTTGGGATAGCTAGGTGATTTCTTTTCCAAAGGCAAGTACAGATGTAGACATTTCGTTTGGGTCTTCTGTCTATCTCTTCGTGCTGGCACTTCACATCGTTCCCTTCGAATAGGTGGGTTTACCTATATCCTTGCCTTTCAGAGTAGTTGAGTGTTAGATTGCGTACTTCGTTGGGTAACAAGGGTGGCAAACTGTACACCTAATCTTCAGTCTTCGAGCAGATGCCCCATGCCATTTGCTTTAATTGTTTTTGATGGCATCCTTACTTGCATGAACATGAGATGAT